GTAGCCAGCATTCTTCAGGGCCCACACAGACCTACTCAAAAAATAGCTTCGTAAAAGGTCTTCTGAAAAATCATTGCTGAGGAGGAAAAAAAAACAGGACTTCTTCTTCAGTTTTGTCACACACACATTTCTACACTGCTTAAAAAGTTAGTTTCTCATTTTCCTCCAAGCTGCACTCTACACATTGCAGACAGCAGACGCAGGAAAGAGACATCCGTATTATCAACCCACTGAGTTTTCCTGGCAGAGAACAGGTAAGAAGAGGCTCCTATCAACCCCTTGTCAAATCCCTTGGACAGGTAACTCACAGGGTGATGTGGAATGTCATATGAAGCCTATTCCTAATTAGTCAGGGGTGCTAACCCATTCCTTAACAGATAAAAATACCAGCTGTTTCCACCTATGGTCAGTTAAAGAACAGGAAATTTATCCATTGATATTTCTGCAAATATTTCCAAAATCTCCAATATAATGTCAGTTAGAACATCTCCAGGTTCAGTACTCTTCTCCATGAAGTGGAGTCTCACGACCTGGGCTAGCTGATGTTGTATGGCTGTCTGGGGGGACAGTGAAAGGTAGACTGAACTCCTCGATCACGTCATCTAAGAATGCATAAAGATTAAAGTTTTAATTTGCATTTTATGAAATCTTTTTAGGCATCTGATTTCTTTTAATGCTATTTTCTCATTGATTAAATGCTGAAATATCCAGATACCAGGTTTCTTGAAAATTATATCTGAGAGTATGTCATGACCAACTAGGGTGATAACTTGTAAGTGCAAAAGCTGGGCTATTATCCATCATAGATATGTGAGTGTCAAATACATCACCTTGGAAGATATAAACTATACAGCTGTACCTTTTTCTTTATAACCCTTGCTTCCCTGCTCCAAAATGAAGCTCCTTAGCAAGAAAAATGCCCAGATGCAAGATGTAACATTTTGGCATGTGAGTACTGGAGGCATGACATTGAAAATGTCACACTTCAGAGGTTTAAAAGAAATGAAAATGCAAGTTTTGCAAGAGTGGAAGAACCTGAACACAGGAGACAACCTGATAGATTCTGTGCTGTCATGAGCAAATCACATCAACCTTATATTTTCCTCTGTCTGTTCACTTATTTTAAAATTAAAAATTTCTACAAAACTGGACCAAAATAATTTAACCCTTAACAATTTTTTTTAAGTTTTCAAGAATGGAAAAGTGTTTTTTTTTTTTCAAATGGACCTAGGAAAGATATCCAAAAATTAAATATGTTTTTTCACTGTTTAGTTGAGAATAAACAGAAATAATAAAAGAGGGAAATGAGAGAAAAGGGAACATTTCAGGACAAGAGACAGCTAAAATATAGGAGGAGAGTGCTCTAAATGGAAAGCACATGCATAATCATCTACAGGATGGACAGGAGTAACAGCATCTCTGCTTTTTTTGTGCTCACTTAAGTAAGCACAGGTGGATCTGTGGGTTTGTTTTTGGGGGTGTGTGTGTATATGTTTTGGGATGAACTACTGGGGGTAAACTATTAATCTGGTGCAGAGAGAACAAGTCACTTGGAGGCAGCTGGACTCCCAGTGTGAGGAGTGCGTTTACCTGTTTTTAAACCCTGCCTTGCATCCCCTCTTGGAGAGAGGCAGTTGGCTTTGCTGAAAGCTCTGTGACAGTGAAAGTGACCCCAATTTTTGGCCCTTCAGATCTGAGAAGCATCTTTTTTTTTGGATAAGAGCTCTCGTACCAGGTGATGGTGGCATGACGGGCCATGACTGGTTGTTTCTTGTTGTGGAAAACACAGGCTTGGATCACAGGGGCACTTCAAATCTGTGCTGAGGGATGGCAGAAAAGTTTATACCTGGGGAAATCAGAGACTGTCAGTGCAGTCTAAACTCAGTGCAGTCTAAAAATGCTGAAGAGTTTATGCTAGCAATGAGCTCGCTGTAAGCCATGTCTTGGAGAGAGACCTCTGTAGCCCAGCACATCTTCACCAAAGTCTCTGATGGATTCCACACATCATCTCCAACCTGGCGTTATTTATAGTACCCCTCATATCTGCACCATTCAAATTAGTATCGAGCCTCTGAGGTGGGGTACAGGAGCAGACACCTTGCAATACAAGAGCAGAGGCCTTGCACAGTTCAGGTGGGCTAAAGAAGCTGTCTGTTAGGGCAGGACCACCTCACACTCTTGGGGGCGAGTGCTGTGGTGTGCTGTACTGAATCCCACAGGCATTCAACCGCTTAGAGACCAGAGGACGTGTGCTGGTGAGTACTGCCATAAACCTGAGGTTCCTTGTTAGCATTGTATCCCAAGACTTGATTTGGTAATTAGATCTGCTTACTGAAAAAGGTGGGTTTGGGGAAAAGAAAATAAGGAAAATTGTCATACACATTTACCGGACTCTGCTCAGAGAGGGCTTTGAATAGGAGAGCAGCAGTCTGGGACTCCTGTGGGGCTGAATTCACAAGCAGCTCTTATAGCAGAATCATCATTTCAGGTTAATCTTAGATTTCTCCCTGCATAATTGAGGTGGATTTATCTTGCAAAGTACTAGGAGCCTGAGATCACTTGCACCTTGCTGCTACTTGGCTGAGGATGCTAAGCAGGCTGCAGTCCTTTGGGTGGCCAGAAGAATATCACCGTGTTGTACAAGCATATACTGTGTATACCTATGTGAGTGTGTGTGGGGTGTTGCTGCAGAGTTGTTTTTAGCTTGCAAGATGTTGCTTCCTAGGAGCAACATCTTCTGGGGAGACTAGAGCAACGAAGGGCTTTAAGGACCTTGGTGGTACCGAAAACATATATCCATGTCCCCTTAGGACCTGCTGTTGTACAAGCCTGTAGTCAAGCTGAACTTAATTAAGTTAATTAAATGTGACAGTCAGGATATTTTACTCCCCCACTGCAGAGGAGGAAATTAAAGGTTATATTTGCTTACTTTACACCATGCTTACTTGCATCTGTGCAGGCTACTTTGAAAGAGCAATTATGGTTATATGAAGTGTGCTGTGCTGAAGAGCTAATTGAAATGATTCTTGAAAAGAAGAATTTCACTGCACGAACTCTTGCAATTCAAATAACAGATTGCAATTTTATACTATATTTCATGGTCTCTTTCTAGAAGTTTATACATATTAATTTCCAAAAGAATATTTTTCTGTGTGAGTTTTAGTGTGTTCTGCTAACACACTAAAGGAAAGAGGCTAAAAGTGATCTATTCAAGATGGTACAATGTGTATGTAACTGAATTAGGCGAGCAGCTTGGGAAACTTGGGAAACATCCTGGATCACAGCTGTCAGTGGGAATTTTGGCACAAACTGCAGCAGATCTGTAATTTCATCCTGGACTTTTGGAATGGATTTAACTTTTGCACTGAAGTTTCAGAGCTAGAAGGCTGATGTTCAGATGATAATCTGTGGCTGTTTGCAGGAGGTTTGAGATAATCCAGAGTTCATATTATGATATATATTATATTAAAGTAATCAGCTAATCGGTATGATGTTGCTATAAATAGCCGTGCTGTAATAAGTCAGGAGATGAAAATATGCTGAAGACTCTTACACTTCATTAGCTGATATTATGTGTGTAATGGACTGGCCTCATTCTGGGTCTGTTGTGTGGCTCATGTTGGCTTTGAAGCTGGTAAGGAGGCTGAGAGGAGGGTGGCAGGGCAGAATGGGCTTTGGGGGCTGCCCTTGCTGCCTCTGCGTGAGGATTTAGCTGTGCTCTGCGTGTCGGCACTATGTTTAGCCCGCAGGAATTGCAGGCATGTGAACCTGAGCCCTGATCAGAACCACACGTCAGTCAGCACATTTCCATGTCATGATTCATGCACTTATTATTTTGCTGTTATTTATGCACGTATTCCCTTTTTGGTCCTTTAGGTAAGTGAATAAATAGCCTCAAAAGGAAGCACTTTGTATCCCACTAGTGAGTTTTTTTCAGGGCGTTATTTTATTAGTGAAATTACTTGCATTAGCAAATCAGTGGAAGAAGCAGTAATGCGAACCAGCAGATTCAATTTCATGTGAACAATCTGTATTCCGGAAGGAAATCCATGCTAGAACCTCAGCTTCAATGGTCAAACAGCCAGTATGCTGAATGCATAAAGACGGAGCAAATTAAGTAAAAGCAGTCATTTGTCTTCATAAAGTACCCGAGACAATAAACGTGCTTTACAAGAAAGGAGTTCAGATGCCACGGTAATAAAAATAACACTTAGCGTAATTTTATTAGCTACCTTTAGGCCAATCGTAAATTGAAGGCATGAATTATGCAACAAACCTGTTTGTAAATTGATGGCATAGAAAGTCATGGAAGTCATCTAGAATAAGTTCCTCCTGTTGAAACGCAAGCAGCATTTCATGCAGAAGTTTATATCCCCCTAATGGATATTCACATATTATTTATATTAATTCCTTTAATTGATAGCCTTCAAAGAAATAAATAAGCTGAAAGGATAAAATTAAAGTCAAGCAGTTATTTCATAAAGCAGAACATATAATATAGAACAGGAGTCATTAATATTAACTTGAATAGACATACAGATTATATTTTCTAACTATAGCAAAACCATTGTTTGAAGTGAATTACAACAGCAGGGAATCTCTGGCATTGCGTCCTTCTACTGTTGTTTCTTGATTCAGAGAAAGAGGAAAAATTTCAAGGTCTTGCATAAATACTTTGCTATAATTTAAGGATATTTCTGTACTATTTACACATATATGTTAGCATAGCTGTTAATGAGCATAATTAAAATCTGTAAGTACATCCTCATCATTTCTTTCAGCTCTTCAAGGGCGTAAGTATCAGCCTGTTTTAGCTTGGAACCAATTCTGATGACTGTTTCTATGATGTGTTTAGGGCAAATGCAGTAAGGAATTCTTCATTGTGCTCTCTCATTTTTTCCACTAAAGCAATAAAATTAGGCATTTTAGACTCTGGGAGGAGTGATCTACCATCAGTCAAATCAATGGAGTTCTGTTGTAACACAGTAATTGAATCTTAGAAGTTCTTGGAACAGAAATTAACAGTTACAGACTCAGCTGATGAAACAAGGAAAAATGGTAAAAAAGCAGTACTTTTGACTCCGAAAGAGGATTTTATACTTCAATCAGCAGTGAGAAAATCAGTGGGTCTGGTTCAGTAGTCTGAGGTGGGCTGTGGTGTGCCATACTTTGTCCAACCCTTCACAGTTCCTTTCCCTCACAACTGGCAAAACACCTCAAAAGGTTTTCTTTTCCACTGACTTATTTTTCCAGGCTGATATCTTCTATGAAGGGGGTAGAAGGGATTGAAGCATGCTGTAAATGTTGACTGAATGTCCAGATGAAGACACCTTCTCTTGGTCTCTCTTCTACTCTGGGTATTCACTGTCCTAAGGGGAAGGTAGGGTGAGGAAGAAGAAATGAGAAGACAGACACTTACATAGCTGGTTTATGGTGGCTGAACAGCCTAAAGAAAACAGAGGGAAATCTTTTCCTTGAAGCAGAATATCATCCAGATATTGCTCAGAACTACTTGTGTTTACATAACAAGGCAGGAACAAGTTTCCTGGTTAAATGTTCTTCCAATTTGTTATAAGTTGTTAAGCAAAATGCTTAATGTATTTGTATTTGTACAATGTAATACTACATTATTTCCAAACACAGCAGTAATGGTAAACTCCATGTTGGTCTCCTAAAGTTCAGTTAAACAATGATAAAAGCAGAATGAAATACACAGAATTTGATTCTCTCTCTGATCAGGTAGATGGAAAAAATACCAAATTATCCAATAAATTTTCTCCTGTCCTCTGTACCATGCTACTAGAATATATGCAGTATTGATGAATGTGATCAGGAATGAGAAATATAGGTATTTTGGTCTAAGTAAAAAAGATCTTATGTTTTGTATAAAATATATATTGATCTGATGCAAAACCTGTTGACTTCTTAAGTTAATAATAGACTCATAGGTTATGTAGATGAACTCATTAATAAAAAGCTGTATGTTATTTCATATTTTAAAAGTCTTTACCCATACAAAAAAGTTTAATTAATTGTACATTTTATAGATCTCTTCCCATGAATCTGGAACCAAGCCATTGACCTTCACGTTTGTTCCATCCATTGGACAACTTCCAACCCATTTTGAAGTTGTAGATGTCTCCAAGTTCCTTGTGAGACTCCCAGAGGACCCAAAGGATTTGAGCTGTCAAGAAACTACATATAAGGTAGAATTTTACTTATATATATTTTCTTTACTTGTGTTTATTTCGCCACTCTCTGAAAAGATATGGAAAAATCTGTCCTAAGCATCCTTGAGCTCATGCTCTTTACCTTGAACTAATTTTTGACTCGTGCTTGATTTTAAATCCCGTGTGTACCAGAGATGCAGAAACATTGCCCAAGGGAGGGCTGATACCTGCTTAACACTTTGCCTTCAGAAGAGGTTATATTGGAGGTGAAGCAAACACTACCCCCTTCCAATAGTGTCCTTTGTCAGTCATGCAGTGCCATATTCTTGGCAGAGAGAGGGGATGCTTTCCTCATCTCTCCAGGTGCAAAGTCTTGTGAGGGGAGCACTATCCCACGGGAATCCATCACGACTTGGTCTGGTCACTGGATCCTGCTTTCATTAAATGCTAGCACTGTGGCTGTCAGCTAATCCTTTTCATAACTGTGTAGTGATACATCAGTCAAAGGGAAAGACTGTTTTTTTGTTCTGGAAAGCTTGTCCCAATTACTTCCTGTGACAGTGAAACCCAAGCCCAACAGAACCACATCACTGGTTCTCCTGCCTTTAGCCAGCTCACAGTGTTTGCTACACCTCCATTCTTGCGTGTCTCACACCACATGACATGTTATCTCCTATTTTATTCCATGCTATTTAAAAGGAAACCAGAGCCCTCAGGTTAATTTTAATGTGTATGGTGCTCTTCTGCTCTTGTATGAGAGCTCCTTGCCTGGCACATAGCTGGGGCTGCACTTCTTGTTGCACTCCCACACAAACGGAGCTGCCCAAGAGCTTGTAGACACTGAATCTCAATATGTTTCAGCACTTCCAGAGGCCAATCTTGCTAAAAAGGGTTTAAGTCTGGGCAGAAAGCGGACATGTTTGAATAGGCATACACTGAAATATTATCCTCGGGATGAAAGCATTCATCAGTTACATTACAGCTGCTCCGTACTGGCTTTGCTTTAAGCAGTGTCCCAGGTAAAACAAAGATATTACTGACATTTGTCTTACAATTTTTGTTTTAGCATGTGTCTGGATAGAGGAAACTTTCTGAACGGGCAGTGCAATACTGAGACTTTCACAGCACCTTTTGCTCTCTTTATTTAAACTATCTAGAGCCTGGACAATATTTCAAAAAACAAACAAATGAAAAAAAAAACAAAAATAAAACGTCATCAACAACAAAAACCCCCCGCACAACAGCTAATGCAAATAACACCCTCCAAAACCCACCCTTGGAGTATTTACCTTTATGTATTTTTTTTTTAAATGGAACAAAGTTTCATGAATCCCTGGGGCTGTCAATGGTAATTTGTCCTTATGATATGTTCTTCAAGCAGGATTCAAATAGGAGCCCCATCTACAGGATTTCTTTTGCAGTACACAACATTTCTTTTCCTTAGCTCGATTCCTCCTTCAAGAGAAATATTATTTGCCCTGGCATGTTCAGTATCAAATGATTTGTGATGCCTAGTTTGCACTGTTCCTGCCCTTATTCCAAGTGTACTTGTGAAGTTCCATGCTGGTGAGGGAAAGCACAAAAATAAGTATAACAACCATGGTTTGTGCTGCAGTGCTTGCTTTTAAGCATACAGTAACACTCTCTGACCTCAGATTCTTTGTCTGCCCTTTGCAGAGAATTCCCTGGCTCCCAGGCCTTTGTTTCTTCATTAATATGTATAGATTTTGCCCCAGATTTTTCCATCAGACTCCTCTGAGGAGCATTGTCTGCCTCCGTGGATTCCACAGTGCGGGTTCCTTCTCATCGTGTCTGGTGTAGTCGGGTCTGACAGCTCCTTCAGCTTGATTGCACCCCTCTTTCAGCTCCAGCACCAGATTTGGGCTGTGATTTAGCTCCAAGCCTCCTGCTGCTGCAGCAGACAGAGGATACCTCTGAAACAAACCCAGAGCATTGGCATCCCAGGAGAGACAGAGGGCCTGGAAGAGGCCTTCTGCGCTGTTGGTGTCAGCCACCTCTGCAAGGCAAAATTACTCCTCAGTTCATGAGAAATGCAGCTGATTTAGATTTCTGTCTTTACATCTTTTGCAGTCAAACACAGCCTCTGATGTGCCAGCCTTGAAGAGCGGAGCCAGGCAAGACAGTGCCCACAGGATTCTCCAGCCCCCAAGCTTCAACTCGAACAAAGCAGAAATGCAGGAGAATGACCTTTTTAAGGCTGAGTTTATCCTGATTACAGACTCTGGAGAGGAAGATGAAGTATCCGCTGCCTCACACAGCACTCAGCAGGCTCCCAACGGCTACGGGCCTGTCAGTGCCCAGCTGCTGGCTCCATCCCACGTGTCTGCTGGTGGCGAGGCCAGAAGAGCTCCTGGTGATCTGCACAGCTCAAGTGCTTGCCAGAGCACTGCCCAGAACCACAGACAGCAGGTAACCTATTCCTTGAACTCCACAGCTAACCTTTCCTCACCAAAGTTCTCAGGGTATGGGCACTGAGTCACTTTCTGAAGCAACTTTGATATATATTTTTTTTTAATTACGATTTTCATTAGTCAGTTCTTTAGTACAGAATAGAATAGTCCCTGCCCTTATGGCTTATGACATCTATAGTTCTGATGTATAGATGGAAGAGGTAATGCAGATCTATTTTTCTTTCTTTCCTTTTTGAGCAGCTCATCATGACAGAAAGTTAATCAGATGGTGTTAGATTCCTCGCTAGAATAAATTGGCCCAGGTCATTGAAATCAATGGAGCCTAGAGATCAGCTGAATTATCAGCTTCCCACGCCTACATTTTTCTCAGCACCAGGTGCAGCTCTTTACACTGAAGAAAGAGGTGGAAAATCCTATTATTTTAACTGCTAGTTAGGACTGATTTTGTACAAGTGTAAAGGACTAACGAAGATGAAATATCTATTTTATGTTGATCTATATTGGACACACAACCTCAGATTTATTGAAATTTCAAATCCCCAGAGGAGACAATTCAAAAAGCAGTCTTAGAAATGTGTCATTTGGAAGACGTATGAATCTGATTACTTGTATAAAAAGCTAATGTCTCACATTTTGGAGAGGGCATTGATACCCTTTCCTTGGGGTGCATATGTGGTCAAAAAAAAAAAATAGAAGCAAAAAAAAATAGAAGCAAAATAGAAGCATCTTTCTCACATGGAGCAGACTAGGGCATTTTCTTTGACCGCAGTGGAGTTTCCCTGGAGCTGAAAATGCAATTCTACAATGATATTTTAAGGAAAAACAAAGAACATTTACTTTGTCTCTGAAAATGAATATGACTTCCTGTCTTGTGCTCAAATACTTATGTTACTCAGTGTCTTTATCAAATTCACAGTGTCAGTTTTGATTCAGGAGACCCTGAATGAGAAAGGTGCTCTGTTCCCAGCTTAATAGAATTATGAAATATTCATATCTTCTTTCAAACTCCCAGCAAAGTCAGTAAGAACTTAGTAAAGGGAAATATAACTGTTTCAGAGAAGCAGCCTTTGAAAGAGTAATTGTCTCAGGGAAATACAAATTCTGCAGCTTTCAAGATGTAGGGTGATTTTTTGAATGATACTGTAACAATTTGGTGGATTTCTTTTTAGGACTATATAGAAAAAATAAATATATGTCATATCTTTCTTAAGTTTTTGATGACTTGACAGGTAAACAGAGATTTTCTTGGTTATGTAACAGAAAATACAGATGCAATGGCACTGAACAAGGGATTAAAATCTGAATTTAGTAATGATTCATCTGCAAGTGAAGTGAAGTAGCATACAATATAGCTGATGTATCTTTCACCTTTATTCATAAGTCACAAATCCTTAGGACTTCCTCGGTCTTTATTTTCTAAATATCTTCAGGTGTACTCATAAGGCAAGGACATTTTTATGCTCGTCATCGATGTTCTTATTCGATGTTTTCTCAGTCATTACTTTTTCTGAATTACTCTTTATGGAAATACCAGTATATTTCTTTGTCCGGTGCCTGTCATCTGGTTTGACTTTTCCAGACAAATCAGTCAAGAACAACTACTGCAGATCCCAGTAATTTTGTAAAACATAGACAATTATGGATGGCATCTATAATAGCTGGGTCTCCACTCAGTCTGATTTACAGTGCTATGCCCAGATATTTTATGATGATGTTTATGAGTTCCCCAATCTGCAGCACTTTGTCTCTCTGGCTCTCAGTTTGCAGGTTCATGTAGTGAAAATACTTTATTTTTTCCTTTCTATAATCAAATTCTACTGAGATCAAAGCATGGATAACAGGCACCAGGACAGACTTCTTCAAGTCACATCCTCTCCAGCACATATTTTTCCCTTCTGGGCATCTACTTTTGCTAGTTTTATGCCCTTTTCTTGTTTCACCAGTCCATTCCGTGTTTTATCAGCCCATCTCATGAGCATTGCTGGTATAAATAGCCCTTTCTTCTGTGTCCTTCCATGTCTGTGAGATGGCTCTTTACACCTGTGGCTCGGGAATGGGTGTACAAAGAAGAAAAGAAGGAATTTGAAAAATAAGAGTCTTTTAAAAAGCCTAGTGCTTTTTGTAAATGTAAAGAAGGTAGCTAAAAAGACATGGAATAGTATGTATGTATTGTGTGATGGGTAGAGGATGTTAAGATGGATGAGCAGGGATGAAGAGGAGATAGAGTTGCACCTTGCGTTAGAATTCCATGACAGTGTGGAGTTCAAGCTAGAGGCAGGACATGTTTCCATTGAAAGTCTCTGGGTCAAGATCAGAGGGAGAAGTAACACTGGGGACATTATAGACTGCCTGGCTAAGAGGAGGAAAAAGGGACAAAAGAGGAAGTTCAGGGAAAGTGTGGCTCCTTTGTTTTGGAGGGGGTAAGAAACCTATTGATCGATAATACTGAAAAGGCCGAAGTTACTCAATTTTTTTTTTTTTTTTTTTTTTTTGTGTGTGTGTGACAATCTTCACAGCCAAAGCTCGTTTCCAGCCCTCCTCATGTATCAGTCTGGAGCAGAGAGGGGCAACTAGCAGTGGGAGAGAAACAGATTAGGTGACATTTAGAGAAGCCGGCTGTACTCAGATTCACAGGACTGGATGGGCTTCATCCAAGGGTGCAGAGAATGTCAGCCAATAGGTTTGAGAGCCTCTGTGAATGAGAGGAGAGGGGCACTGAGAGATGGTTGAGCAGAACTCATGCAGTTCAGCAATGAGAAGTATAAAGCTCTGCACCTGGACACACAAAAAAAACAAGCATCTGTACAGGCTGGGAAGTCACAGGCTGTGCAACAGCCTAGCTAAAAGGAACTTGGGAAGGCTGGAGGTGAACAGAAATGTGTTGTCACCACAAATGAAGTAAACTGCTATCTGTGGAGAGTTGTGATTGGTGGATCAAGGGAAGATCCCATCTACTCATCATGAATGAAGCCCCATCTGTAATACTGTGCCAGGTCTGCCCTTCTCTCTCCCAGTTCAAAGAACTATTGGGTATCCAGCATAAAGCTACCAAGATGCCCAGGGACATCTGTGAGTTGAGGCTGAGGGAGCTGGGCTTGTTTGTTCTGGCAAAGAGATAGCTAAAGAGGTACTTAGCCTGCAATATCTTGAAGGAAGGAGAGATGGCAGAGCCAAAATCTCTTCCATGGTAGCAGACAGAAGTGGTCATGAACTGAGGCCTGGGAAGTCCTGTCTGGCTATAAGGAAAGCTTCCTCGGTAAGTGTCAGAGCAGCATGGATTTTTTTCTCGTAGGTGACCTCCCTGGCTGCCCCAAGGGATGGGGGGGACCGCGATCCTTAGGGGCTTCTGAGGCTTGGCTAGACGTGGCCATGCCCTGTTGGTATCAGTGACAGTGCTGCTCTGAGTAGGAGGCTGGGCTAGATGAGCTTAGAAGTCATTTCATGCCAGTATTGCTATTGTAGTTAACATTGCAAAACAGTGGCAAAATCTTTTTAGAAGGCTTGAATAACAGCTCGTTTATTTCAGCACATAAATGTTCAATGGTATTTAAATTAGAATAAGACTACAGAAAAATGTTTCTCATGCTTCCAGGAGCATAGTTATCATCTACTACCATGAAATTTTTCCTAGCTGCTATTAAATCTTTCTTATTAAGTTTTATCCAATTATAAGTACATTCACCTTCTGTCCTTTCATTCTGGAAATCGATATTCATTCTCATTTTCTTTTAATCCATTGCCTTTGTAAGGGAAATTTATCTACTCCATTTTCATATGCAGGGATTTCCTCCTCCAGTTTTGTTTTGGTCGTTGATGAGCTTCCAGAACTCAGTATTAAATTCAGCAGACTGCTCCAATTTATCAGAAATATTACCTTCCTCCTTTTTAACTTGTTCAATAACTTTATATTTCATAACATACTTAATAATGTTTTTCCAGAGTGGTTAAATATTAGACAATTACTTTCAAATAATTTCCAGTATTTCTCCTTATTCTTTATGAGTTTTTTTTTTTCAACAGCCGTCATAATTTCTCAGTCCAGGAGAATATATATTATGATAGTACCACATATATTTATACAATCTTAATACTCACCTTGTGTATATTCACTGGCTTAACACTTTAAATTTAAGACTCCTTATCAGAGATACAGATTGAGGAAGACTGGCTTTTATTCCAGTAAGTGATGGCAATCACTTAGCCTTTTTGATGGTGTCTTATAAAAACATCTCTTCAGTTTACAAGGGCTGCAATGTGTAACAGCAGGAAGAACTCACTCTTTGTAAGCTACAAGGGTTAACAGGTTTCTGCTGTGCATATTTAGGGTTTCCTGAAGCCTTTGGGTTTCTTTTAGCCCTTAAAAACCTGCATGTCTTGTTGTCATGGCTTCTTCCAGCGTTTGAGAATATAAATACATTTAGTACTTATTTTTGTATTGTGACATGCTGATATCAAGTTATAACAATTCTTCACTCTGCTGAAGCAGATGCTTATGTTTAAAAATTAGGATTTATAACTTTATCCAAAGCCATATGCAAGTCATGTATGTGGAAACTGGATGGTATGATTTCGTTTTACAGAGTGGCATCATCTTTTCAGGGTGTTGAATAACAGATACTTTTCTATTCACATGAAGTTTGTAGGGAATAGAATCAATTTCCCTGCTTTCAAATTGCTCAGTCAAAAGCTGGTAATAATTTGTAGCCTCTCATTTTTACAGTTCAACTTAGCACACTATTTCACATTGATATACTTTATTCAAATTGTGTATTCCCTAGTTTTTAACCTCGGTATTATAATAACTTGGAATATTTTGAGATAATTGCTTTCTTCAAAAGCATAAAATTGTGCAAGGGTTGATAATATACTTGCATACTATAATTAGTTTTCCCAAATCCTAATTAGAGCAGACATAAGAAAAAAAGGCACTTATGAAAGAGATAATTACTGTTTTATTATTGTATTGTAAGACTGTGGGGAAGGGGACAAGGGCTCTTA